TCGTCTCTTTCCTTCCTACTTACTTCTCCTACCCAACCTACCGTACGTCCGTTACTTCCTACCTACGGTTCGTACAACCTACGTGTCGCTCACTAACAACTACACTACTCTCTCTCTCTCTCTCTCTCTCTCTCTCTCTCTCTAACACACACACGCAAGAAACACGAATTGACGAAGAAATACCTGGAAAAAGCCCCACTCAGATGAAGCGGTCGCCATATCGCTTATACAGGCTTGTCTCTCTGCTTCATCAGAACTCGAGAGATATTGGAGATCGATTAATGGAAGCCCACATTCTTCCACGGCTTCTTTCCTGCAATTCCTTGACTCGTGAAAAAGGTCTCCATACTTCTCGATCAACGGTGGGTCGCCCCCGGTTTTTGTATATGTCATGTTTTACTGACAGAAAAGCTATAACTTTAGGGGAGAGAGAGAGAGGATGAAGTAATTTTGTTGTCTAAGGTTTCTGAGCTGCTGTTTGGAGAAGCAGGATGAGAGAGAGAGGGGAGGGGGGGGGGGTAATAGAGGCAGGAGAGAGGTCTTATAGGTGGGTTTTAGAGAGAGAGAAGGAGATTTTGAGGATGAAGGGACTGAGGTTTCTATGCAGTTTGGAGAGAGAGAGAGAGAGAGAGAAGCAGGCCTTGAGAGAAAGAGGAATTTTGGGTGGAGAAAGGCCCAAATGGAATACAACAGGGGAACGCAACTTGAAATTGCGACACTTGTCGGAAGGGGAGGAATCCTGTTGTGTGGACCAGGTCAACATAGATACTGAGGAAACCTTTAGAGAGAGAAAGTTAGTGGGGCTGCTTTTGACTGTTTGGGTCCTCTCTTTATTGATTAAATTTGATGTCTTTATTGAAAATTTTGATTGTGGCTGATGAAGACAGGGTTTTGGCCGCTTGGATAAGTTCAATCAGATGGGAACAAAGTTAGAAAAGAGATCAGTATATTTTAAAAGTCAATATACCTTGAGCTCAATTTCTTACTTTTAAGACTTTGTAGGTCATATTATATTTGTGGTTTACTTTTGTAATTTAACCTGCATCGCCCCAAAAAAGACAATCCACCTTGTCAAATCCCTCACTCTTGCATCCCAATCAAACCTGCTCAAAACTTTCTCTCAACAAAATAAAATGATGGTAAAATTAAGAATCAAACCTGCTCAAAACTTCCTCTCAACAAAATAAAATGATAGTAAAAGTAAGAATCAAACTTGCTCAAAACTTCCTCTCAACGAAATAAAAGGATAGTAAAAGTAAGAATCAAACCTGCTCAAAACTTTCTCTCAACGAAATAAAATGATATTGATAGTAAAAGTAAGAATCAAACCCGCTCAAAACTTTCTCTCAACGAAATAAAATGATATTGATAGTATAAAAGTAAGAATCAAACCCGCTCAAAACTTTCTCTCAACGAAATAAAATGATAGTAAAAGTAAGAAACGTGTAGGGTACAAACTCTAAATTGTGTTAAAGTCCTCTCTTGGCGTGCCGACGGGTGTGTTGGCAAGGGTGATGCATAATCTTCACGACCATTTTTATCATCGGATCATATTTTTAATTATTTAATGTCGGTTACACAAGTCTTGATATGTCATTCTTCTACACTGATGTCATAAGCCCGTATGTATTTTTCTTGTACTTTCAACATTGTCCTTTTGGGCTTACTTCTTGCTTCTTTTTTTAACATTCTACGGGAACCAACTCGTACATCCTTATATGTGTTGTACTATATATGCACTATATACAGCCAACCCACCTATGTCTACTTTCTCGTATCTTATTGTCCATTGGAGCCTATAAAGTAATGTTTTGCTTTATAAAGCAAAGCTGGTCTTACAACTGTCCTCTCCTTCCATTTTATTGGTATGTGGCGATCACATAAAGCTCTGGTTGCACATCTCCACTTTGCCCACCTATCTTTAATTCTATGTACGATATCTTCTTTAATATATTCATTTTTCAAGATTATCGACCTAAGATATCGAAAGTCCTTTCTTTTTTGGTATTTCTTAGCTATTACCCTTAACTACTTCATCGTCTATATTCTTATTATTATTAAACTTGCATTCCATATATTATGTCTTAATCTGGCTAATTTTAAAATCTTTAGATTCTATAGCATCCCTCAAAAGTTCTAAGTTTGTGTTGATGCCTCTCTGGTCTCAATGATCAAAGTTATATCATCTGCAGAGAACATACACCTCGATACCTCATCTTGTAAGTGCCTACTTAAGTCGACAATAATTAAGACAAAGATGTATAAGCTCAAAGCTTACTCATGATGTAGATTTATTATTACTGAAAACTCACTCAATTCTCCAGCAGTTGTTCGCACACCAGTTAGCGCTCATTCATACATATCTTTTACCAAGTCGATGTAATATCTAAAAAGTCATTTCTTTTTTAATACCCATCAAATTAAATCTAGATGTACTCTATCATAAACTTTCTCTAGATCAATAAAGACCATGTAAATGTCATTTCTCTTTATCCTAAACTTCTCAATCAACTGTTTAAATAGGAAAATAGGCTCGGTCTCCTTGGTATAAAACTAAATTAGCGTTCTAGTACACTCTTTTCATGCATTTGTTCTTTGCTCAATCACTCACTTCCACAACTTCATAGTGTAGTTCATAAGCTTGATCCCTTGATAGTTGACCAGTCTTATTCAAATTAAAAATTAAATGTACTAAAAAACAAGTCTAAATTGATACTTGACAAGTTTTGGATGGTCACTCTAGCAAGTTTTGATCGATTCAACATGGTTACTTATTATTTTTATTTTTTTTATTTTTTAAACATGTAATAAATTAGTTTGACCGCTGATTTTGATTGAACCATGCCCTTTATTATTAATTTGGTGGCCGATACAATCGTGGTAGAGTTACTTTGCTTGATAAAAGAGGGGAAAAGAAGTATAGAAAGGATTAAGGAATAAAGCAAAAATAGATCGGAAATGAATACAAAAGAAGAGAACCAAGATCTTTTGCGTATAGTATCTTTTGACCTTGTATAAACTTTTTCCTAAAGTTAAGTATCAAAAATGATTTACTCTTGCGGCTTTTGATTTTTAGGGTCTCTTACTTCCCAGATGTGGACAAACGTGGGACGCATGCGTAAGGCGGCGCGAGCGGTTTGGACGGCCACAAATTCACGCGTTTGGCGGTTTGCAAAAGGAGTATATGAAGCATACACAAATCATTAACAAATTTTATATTTGCATTAGAAATTTGTAGACCCACACCAGCCACGATGCAAAGTGGAGGGGTGCCAAATCGTAGCTGTTATTTTAATAGTCAGATGATGTCATCCTTCAATTCAACCACTTGTGGGCCATGGCAAGCCTTCTCCAACAGTTTCTGTTTCTTAAGGGAAACATGTTCCCCTTTTTTCCAATATAAATACTCCCTAGTCCTTTCTTGCAAAATATAATGTGCTCCTAGGGAGCATATCAATTATTTTCTCCTTGTTTTTTACAAAAATTATAGTTATGTAATAAAATTATTCATTTTGGATACAAATAGGTTTAAATTACTCCCAGTCATTAGGCTCGACATTAGACTCTTTATAATAGAGGTAAATATTCTTATAGTATGCAATATTTGTAATTTCTTTTTCGTATTGATTAAATACATGGTAGGAATAGAACTCAAAATACGACGTTATTGACACCCTGCTACTATTACTACTTTCGCCTTACTTTCGCCTTGAGTGGCACCCAAAATTTTAGGGATGCTTGAGAAAATAGTATCCTAAGATTGAACAATCACTATTCAATTTCTAGGTAGTTAGATATAAGCATTTAATAACATATAATCCAATTTATTTTTAAAAATAGTCCTCAAGTTTCGAGTCTGGAAGCAAGTATTGGACTTGACCCCACCCGGATCTAGTATTTATATATAAATATATGTCTATATGTATTTATGAAATATTATTTATGTATGAAAATTTATCAAAATACCCACAAGAATTATTTAATCTTTGACCCATTTATAACTATTTCAACTCAAAAAATGAAGTGTTTTTTATGGATATTTTAAATTGTTCCTCCTACACATATGCAGGCATCACCAGCAAAGGCATTAAGTAAATCCTAAGCATGATTTAATACTAAATAAATCATTGTTAAGATTAATTATGAAAATAAAAATATTCATGATAAATATTCAAATCGAGAGAGAGAGACATAGCAATGCGTGTATCTACAGGATATAAGTACTTTTTGAGGCAACAGTGTCAAGATTGGACCGGTTATTGAACCGATGAAGGGTTTAATTCAATAAAGATTAGTTCAACTACTAGTTGAATTGACTCGACTAAATTTTTTAAAATAAAAATAACAGCTTAAAACATAACTTATATCGCAAAAAAAATGCTTAATTTTGTTTAACTTATCCAATAGGTCAAAATTAACCACTCTGACTGGCCAAAATAGTCATAAATTATTTTTTATTAGCATTTTATGAAACTTCATTTTTACTTTGCCTCGCACCAAGTTAGCAATTTCTAGCTGGGTTTTGTGGTACGGCGTTAATTTTTGTTTAGAAGCCTCTGCCATACGTGCTTTTTCTTATTGAGATATTTCAAGAAAACTAGCCAGAGTAAAATGTTTGCAGAAAAGATGGTAAATCCCAGCGAACATATAATTCCCATTAAAAAAATAGAATAAAAAAAAATGCTTAAAGATCAATTTGGATGTACCAAAAATTGTAATATTTTTAAATCACAAGAAAAAAAGATTGAGATAGATAACCCCATTGGATTTTATTCCCCATCAAAATAAATTATCACATTAGGCCAAATTTGCCCAAAAACGTGCTCACAATTTTTTTCACTTCCCTCGTCGTGCCTTTCCCCAACCTTTTCGCTCTCAGTCGTACTTTCCCCAAAACCTTCCTGCTCTTAGTCGCACCTACAAAAGAGTCTCTCCCACTCTCAAGCAGGCTCTCTCCCACACTCAAGAAGGCTCAAAAAAATTTTAGAGGCAGATGTCTTACAACCTCAAAACATTAGCAGATGAAGTATGTAAAAGACGTCTCAGAGGAAGGTTTGTAAAGGAGGTCTCTCTTTTGCCCATCCAAGGTACTCTCTAGTCTCTCTCTCATAATAACATTGAACTTTTCAATCTTGCATCTTGTTTCATAGCTGCTAACTCAGAGAGAAATAATTCCCATTGAAAACCCAAGCTAGGGTTTTTAAATCCGAAAGGGAATAAATTGAGTAGAACCTATTTCTTCTATTCCAAAATAATTCCCTTCGAAAACCCAAATTAGGGTCTTTTCTCTTTCTCTCTCATCAAATCTTGATCTTAAATGGAAGCTTTCTCTATCTCTCCCAGCAGCCGTGCCTCTCTTTGTTCTCAATATATCTCTTTCAATAAAAACGAGAAACTGCAGGTTTGCAACTCTAGCTTACATGTTTGGCTACTATAGACTCCTCCACCTATGAAGTTGTTATGTATCTTGTAAAGTATGAAATTAGATGGTTCGAATCCTTCTTATGGATGGCAATATTTTATGAAATATTACTTCACACTCATCATTGTTTTTGTTAATGTATGTTGATACACAATGTTTCGAAATTGAGCTTG